GAAAGAGCGAAAGAGCAAAGCGTGATCCACGGAAACGGTGGTTAGAGGTTAGAGAAAAGGAAAATAAAAGAAGACGAATTAATTAGAAATATATACAACCGTAGCCCGTATATATATATATATATATATATACACGTATATATAGGGAGGAAAATACGAAGCGAACGGTTACGATTTAATGAGTTTGCGTTCTAAATTACCGGTGATCTCTGACGGATTCGCTCGGAATAAAACGAAAGAATCAAAGTGGCGAGGAGGATAAAGTTGTCGCGCGTTGTGGATGGATATAAATTAACGGGGTGTGGGACGAATTTAGCATTTTTTTCGTTTGCGCGAACTCGTCTCGCCGGTGCTGCCGATTTTTTCCCCCCTCGTTTCGAGGAGAGAGAGAGAGAGAGAGAGGATATATCGATCGTTCGTCGAATTTCGAGCGGGTACGAAAATGGACTCGTTTCGACGCGAGACCGTCCCGTTGAATTTCATCGATCGATTCACCGTCTAAATCGAATTTATCCAAAGAGAGAGAGAGAGAGAGAGAGATGGAGAAATTTCACCGATGGATCTCTCCCACTCGATATATCATCGATCGTTCCTTCCTTTTTTCCCCTCTTCTCCCCTTATCCCCCCATCTCCTACCTCGTTCTCGCTACTTCTTTTTCCAGCTAGCCAGCCGGGGGAAGGTAGGCGCGCGTGGAAAATTAGAGGATCCGAGAGAGGAACGAGAGGAACTGGCCGGGGAACTCGATTTACATACCTCGACGGGCCTGGATCGCGTCGGATCAAGTTAGCAGGGGCGACGAGTGAACTTAATTAAGCGCGTGCGCGAATCGTGGTTCGCGGCGTACACGTGCCACACACTTCGTTAAATTTTATTCGCCGTAATTTCGCGACTGCGTCGTGCGTCGAGGCTGCCGGTCCTCGCTTCGACTCTCGAAGCCGACGTTGGGCTTCGCATCCACCCTCCTCCTCCTCTTTAATTACATCCTCGTTCGAGCTTAAGACCGGCTCGCCGAATCGACGACTGACTCCCCCTCCCTCCTACACCTCTCGACGCGAGCATTTCGTTTCGAATCGCTACAGGTCCGGACCGCTACTAACCCAAAAGGAGAAAGAGACACCTCCCCTCTTGTCTCAACGGATCTTTTAACGCTGCCTCGTTATGTTAATGAGAAAAAAATCTTCGTTACGCCGACACATTCGGTCGAAAACGTTTGCTCAACCAAACGATTGCTATCGTACGCGTCCCCCCTTTCTCCCCTTTCTCCCCTTTCTCCCCTTTCCGATATATATATATATATATATATAATAATAATTCGTTGACGCCGTTTCCTGGGTGAAAGATCGTAAAAATGGAGTTAGTCGTTTTCTTTTGGAAGTGGCGATAAATCGCGTCGTCGCGATAACGATCCTTTTCCACGAATTCCATTACACAGCGCGCGCCTTTAAATTCCGTGGCCGGCTTTAAACATCGGCGTTAACGTTTGTTTCGCGCTACGATATTTCGTTTAGCCTGCAATTGAAAATTACTACCGCACGAACGCGTCCCAAAACGGGTGTGCGGCGATTGCAACGTGAATATTTAATGCAACGGCAATCATTCGAATTCGGTTGGTAAATTAGCACCGTATCGATTTCGCGTGTATGCAAAGGCACGACGGACCGACCGTCATATGCACGGCTAATTACGTATTTCCGGGACAATGGATATAAAAATAATGGCGATATCGAGGCGACTAACGGGGACCCCCCCTCTCCTTTCCTCCCTCCCCCTATCTCCTTTCGCTCGGCGCGAAACGAATTGGTTTTGTCGAAGGGGACGCGACGCGGAAAGAGGAAGAACGGGTTGAATTACGGAGCGGATGAAGAAGCAACGAGCGGCTAGGTGTCCGGCTAAGTAATCGAGGATATAAAACGTGCATCGGATTTCGTTAACGAAAACACGCACACGCCGTTCTCACCGTTCTAATTAACCAGCCGAGAGGAGATATAATCAACGTGAAGAACGTATCTCACGTTGTGGAGCGTGGTATCCACGCAAGTGTGGACAATCCAGTTGCCACGTGATGATTAATCTTTATCGCTGGGGAGAAGGAATAAAATCTCGCCCCCGATATTCGATTCTCCAAGTGGTTCGCGAGTATCTCGTTCTCTCGAGTATCTTTCCGCGTATACCGAAGGATAATAGGGGAAAGGGAGAGGAGTCGTTATTACGGGTTCGTGCCAAGTCCAAGAGACGCGGTTACGAAACTGTACAACTGGTGAACGAGGGATCGATTAGAAGCAGTTATTCGTTCCGCGTTTTCGATTGTTCTTTCGGATGCGTAACCGGATCGTGGATCGTAGTTGGATCGTGGAGGAAGGAAGGAAGGAAGGGAGGGAGGAAGGAAGGAAGGAAGGAAGCGGGTCGTTTCGAAGAGACATGGTTGAAGATGGTCAATTACGATACTGTTGTGAAATAACGATCCGTCAATAAGCGCGCATTTCCATTTTCAATGGAAAATGAGTCGAGAAGTAGAACGAGGAGGAGGAGGAGGAGGAGGAGGAAGAAGACTCGAAGACGATACCGCGGATGCATTTATCAAAGGAGAATACGGTTTGTATCGAGGTAGGGGAAGGAAGGAAGAAGAGCGTTGCGCGATACTCGAGAGAAGGTGGAAGAGAAACCGCAAGAGGGCAAGTTAGACGGAGCGCGGAGGAAACGAGGAGGAAAAATGATGAGCCAGAAATAATTAGCGGGGTTGCAGAGCGCAGCCGACCGAACGCAGATGTGCCAAGTCTGTATGAAAAATTAATGACATCCCGTTCTCGGCAATTCCCTTCCTCTCGCCACCCCCAACCCTTTTTCACTTCCCTAGCGCCAAGTTTATTCCCTCTTCGCTGCTTTTTTTTTCTTCTTTTTTTTTTTTCTTTCTTCTCTCTCTCTCTCTCCCTCCCTCCCTCCCTCTCGTTTTTACTTAAGCCCGGTTTCCCTTTATTGCCAACCCTCTTTTGACGATCTCGCGTGTCTCGACGAAATTTAGCCGCGCCACGATCCCCGATAGGCTCTATAATTATCCCGTTTTATCTTCATCAGGGTAGAGGGGGTGGACTCTGGGGGAACAACTCGCGACCAAAGAAGCGATATAACCTGCCGTTCAACCGTTTACCGTCCACAGGAAGAACGCTCGTTTTTCCATTCCAATTCGATATCGGGATTTGGACCGGATATTTATTCATCCCTTTCTTCTCGTATAATAATCGATGGATGGAACGGAACTCTTTCGCTCTTTCGGCCGAATACACGGACACAAACTTTGCCTCACTTCCCTTCCTTTCAATTTGTCTCCATTACACGCGTCGATCACTTTTTCGTTCTCCTGCCCCGTCACCTGCTCCCATCCCGTCTGGTCTGGTCTCGTCTGGTCTGGTCTAGTCTCGTCTCGTCTCGTCACGGCAAACATCCAACATCGTTTTTCACAGTTTTGCGCTGCATAACGATCGATAGGTCACACGCGCGACACTCGATTCGTAACAATTCGGGAACGCATCGATCGGCGCTCGTCGAAAACCGAATCGACGTCGATTTAAAACGATCCGTTCTCCTCTCTTCCTCTCCATCATCGACAAATATTTTTCGAACAGCGTTTTTTTTTTTTTCCCTCCCTCCTCCTCCCAAGAATTATTCGAGAAATTCGACGAACGAGTGAGAAATCGCGAGTTTCGTCGTGGAACTGAACGCTTCGTTTAACCGGATCGTGTTGTCGAACGCGACCGCGAATCGAGCGACGAAGAAATATTTACAGTCGATATTATCCCGTTATAAAAGCGAGCGTAATCGTCTCGCCGCGTTGTAACCCAAAGTATCGCGATAAACGAGAGAAAGAGAGGGAGAGAGGGAGGGAGAAAGAGAGAGAGAGAGAGAGAGAGAGAGAGAGAATCGGCTCGTCTGCTCTGCCATAATACGGATAATTTATGAACGCACACGCGCGTGACCGAGTTTCCCTACGACTTTGCAATTAACTCGTCGATTTCCATCCCCTATCTTCCAAAAGCTCGAGGGGGTTTCCCATATCTCCGTACAAAGCTCGATGCACGTTTTATTTATTTATGCCAATCCATTCTCTTCCACGGATCATCTTATCGCTGTGTTTACAGTATGAAAATTTTATATTCCAATATTCCACCATCCCATCCTCGCGTATATATTCGTTATTTTTTCTTCTTTTAATTCGAGCCTCCACTCTCCTCTTTCTTTCCTTTTCTTTCTTTTTTCTTTCTTTCTTTTTTTTTTTCTCGCTGCCTCTAAATCGTAATTATACGAGTTAACCGGCAATCCAGCGGACTCGTTTTAATTATTATCTTCTTCTTCGCATTGCGTAGACAATATACATTTTTTACAACCATACATACATCTCTATTTTTATTTTTCCACCTTCCCTAACCACCACCACCCTTCCTCCCTTTACTTCCTCGTTTTCCCCCTTCCCCTCCGCCCTTCTCTTTTTCGCTCCTTCGTCGGAGCTCGTGTACCGGAACGTCATAAATTCCAAGCCATCCCACTCTCGACCCCTCTTACTCGCCACTCTTTTCCCTTTCCTCTTCCTCTTCCTCTTCCCTTTCCTTTTTCCCCTTCCTCCTCTCTCTCTCTCTCTCTCTCTCTCTGTCTCTTTTGCTTCTTCTCTTCCCATGCATTCGTCGTCTCGTTCGTCCGTGCACGGGTTCCTCTTGAAAGAGCAGCGACAACGCAAAAGAAACGGAACGTAATTAGAAAAAGTGTCATTTTTTTAAACTCGCATTCTCCGCTCGACAAAAGCAAAAGTCGCGTTTCGGTGCTTCTCGTCATCCCCCACCCTCAACGGAACAGGAAAGGGACCGAACGCGTGAGAACGAACAGTTCTCGAAATTTTCGATCGAAGGGGAGGATTTATATTTGTTTCTCGTCCGACCGATCAGGTGAATCGCACGATTCGATCGGGCTCACGAAGCGTGGAGAATTGAAATTGCGATTGAAAGAGACTCACCCTCTTGTCCGAGGAGCACGGCGAGGATGAAGAGCAGCGTAAGATCCATCGTCGTTCGTTGGTCGACGACCGTGGATCCCGTACCTCCGCTTTCGTCTATCCAGTATAATTCGAGTTCCCCTATTTTCCCTGTTCCCAGGTCGTCGTATTCGCAATTCCACCTTCTTCTTCGGACTCGACGGCCACGATCCACGATCTACGATCAACACGGGCGCGTGTATATCTCCACCGACCGATCCAACCGATTATATTCGCCTCGATATTCACCACCTCTCGAAAACGAACTCGCGCCATCGAGACGGGTTTTTCGCCACCAACCCCTCCACCCCTCCCGAAAACAATCCTCGCGTCTCGAATCGTCCGACAACTAACGAGCTGTCCAAGGGGGAATGAAAGGAAGGACGGATACCGCGTTTATTTTAGCGGAACGAGTGTGACGCGTCGAGTTGTCGACCCTTCTTCGAAGGGTCTTCTTCTCGCACCCTCTCTCTCTCTCTCTCTCTCTCTCTCTCTCTCTCTCTCTCTCCCTTCACAAGCGCGTCTCTAGAGTCACAGGTCTCTAAAAGTGTCTCGAGCGTTAAACGCTTGGAGATTTCCAAGTTTCCGCGATTTTTCAGCAGCGCAGCGTCATCCCGATCTCGTCGGCCCGATAACGTGGCAGGCGATAGTTTGGCACAGGGACAGCTCCTCCCAACCAGGGAGGTTTAAGAGGGCGGGCGTCTAATTTTCACCGGAATCACGGGCCACGATCGCAACGTAGACGAAAAGTACGTAGACGGTGGTGGAAAATCTTGGACTCGAGTCGGACCTACTCGAGGGGAACTGTATCGAGAGGATGGGGGGAAATTGCTCCAAGGCGAAGAAGAACGGGGATTTATCCGCGGAGAGGGGTTGGTCGTGATAATTAATTAAATCCATAATCGGGCGAAACGAACGTTCCGAAGAACGAAGTTTGGAAAAGAAACGTTTGAATGGGAGAGGAGGCGAGAAGTTAAGAGAGAGAGAGAGAGAGAGGGAGGGAGGGAGGGAGGGAAAGGTGGAGCGAGAAAGGAAGGTGGAAAGAGAAAAACGAAAGTATGCCGGCGTACGGAAGGTACGGCTTTTAAATGCAACTTGTTGCAATCTCGCCCAAAGCGGCGAGTTTCCTTCGCTCGACCGCGCTGGAACGCGCACGTGTGTCCTTCGCGGAGCGAGCACGCGTGCTCTTCTTCTTCTTCTTCTTCTTCTTTTTCCAAACAGGAGTTGCACTTCTCTCCGAAACCGGAACGGAATTTACGTTTTATACACGTATCGTATCGATCGATTGCATTATCATAGAACGAAATACGATTTCGGAGAGGAGACTCGTCGAAAATTCGAACGTTCTGGCCAATGTTTACCGTCAACGATCACGACACCGACGTACCGCTTTCCAACTCTCTCTCTCTCTCTCTCTCTCGATCCTTTGTTTTTCCGATGCGGTGACACGTGGTAACGGGAGAGCGTCGATCCAAGAGGGCACACGCACACGCCGATGTTTCGTCGATTCTCTTTCGCTCTCTTCTCTTCCCCACCTCCTCCCCCCTTCCCCTCAACTTCACTCCCGTTTCCAATCGCATGACGCGAATGCGTATTGATTCGACCGAGACTATTGCCTTTCGGATCCATTCAAAGAAGGGGTGGAGCGTGATGGGTATAATATCTGGGGGTTCCGTTTATTTGTTGACATAATTGCACCGAAACGCGATCGATTTCCCTCGCCACCCCGATTTCCCTTTTATCGCGATCGATGGATTCCCCTACCGCGACGACTCCCAATTTTCCTTCTATACTCTCTCTCTCTCTCTCTCTCTCTCTCTTCCACGCGATTCCTCGATCATCGGTGGAGATTTTGCCCCGTCTCAGGCGCGCTTTAATCGAATTCCCGAGTTCTCACAGGAACAGAAACAGGTGATCTTCGATACGGGATTAAGAGCGGCTTACCGCAACGCCGCCGTTAGCGGCTATTCCTGCCAAGACTAGTTCCGGTTCATCGAGTCGTGCACACGGTTCGTTGTCCTTTCGTGAGCCAGCGTCGGGATCCGATGAAATCGATCGATCGGTCGAGAGGGGGGGGGCGGAGGGAGGCGAGAGGGAAACATGGATCGTGGCGGAGGAAGAGGAGGAGGAGGAGGAGGAGGAGGAGATCCGCCGCGAAAATTCGAAACCGTGGCGTGGGGGGGAAGAATGGTTGGCGAATTCCTTTTCACGGCCGTTACGTCGATTCGTGGTCGGGGTTGGCGGAAAAAAAAAAAAAAAGGGATGGAGGGCGAAGGGAGGATGGATGGAAGAAGGCACGAGCGGACGACGCGGCGTGGCGCGGTGATTCGCGAGGAGCGTCTCGGAGGGAAAGTTGGCGTCGCGGATGGCCGATGCCGACTACGAAAGCTCGACGTGGCGCCAGCCGAGGCCTGTGCGCCGCTACGTCTACGTATACCTGCACGCGTGCGCGTTGCGAGTCGAGCAGGTGCGAAATGCACGCGACTCTCCACCTACGATACCGACCAACGTGCCTCCCCGACCACGCTCACGATTACTCTCGCCTTTTCGCCCCCGACGATCCATTATTCCCGATCGTTATCGATAAAACCAACCCTTCGAACCCTGAGGAGAAAATGAAAAAAAAAAAAAAAACGTTCAAGATACGTCTCCGTTGCGTTGCCTTTTCGAACGTTAATAGACGCCGCGTCTCGTGATTATCAATATCCAACCCCACTCCTCGGGGTAACCAATACACGGATCGATATGAAGCAAACAGTTAATTTCACACCGATTGTTATTGGTATTCACGAGTTTGGATTAACGCGTCCCATTTCCGATCGAGCATCTCCGCTCTAGACAAATTGAAAATAATCGAAAGTTGTCCAAGTTATAATCGGGGGATCCCGTTTTTCCTCGATCGCCGGAAATTTTATCGAGCGAAGAAAGGAGAGAGGGGAATCTGGGGAATCGAATCGCGGCGAGGCGAAAGGGAGAAACAATTATTCCGTTGTTCGGTGCGAACAAGCACCGAATGCGCACGAATGAATTGGAGGGAGTAGTTTAAAGGCGATAATAAGCTCGGTCGTTTGTAAACGCGTGCCGCGGGGAAATCTTGGCAAATGGAAAAAAGGATGGAAATTAAGTTTCCATCCTCCGTTTCCGTTCGTGTTCCTCTTCCTCTTTGGCCGATTGACCGAGCGAGATCTCCTTCTTCCTTTCTCTCGGAGGAGGAAGGAAAACGCGCTCCGAGAGATCCGGGGGACCACGAGAGCGCGGCGATAGATAGATCCAGCCGGCATAAAAATTTCCTCCTCTTAACGGGATAATCGTTTTCTCCCGCCTCTCCGCCAGGCTTCGTACTTCTCCTCCTCCTCCTCCTCCGCTACTTTATTTCACTTTGTTCCGCAAACTGAAACTGACGCAACAGCCAATTTCGTTCGTTACGGTAACGATAACGGTAATTGTTAAAACCGTGTGCGCGTTCTACGCGCGGTGAGTAGTCCCGACGACGACGACGACGATGGAGGAGGGAAAGAATAGCTATCGTGCCTCAAAGCGGGGACGATATCAAAGCGGGAGAGCGCCGCTTTTTTCTCCATCGTTTTTTCACCCCCCGATATCGCTTTTACGTCCGATTCGGGGACGTAAAAATCGAGACATCGGATCGAGCGGAGAGAAGTGGAGTGATACGGCGCGATAATGCGTTTATCGCGCGAATATCGATAGGTATATTCTCTGCCTCGATCGCGAAAAAGTTGATCGCGTTTCGTCTGGGAGGGAGATTCATCGACAGGGAGTGAAGGAGGGAAGGGGATAGGACAAACGCGAAGAAACGCAATGGAAACACGTCGAAATTCCGTTCCCTTTATACCGGTTGCGGTACTCCTTTGAAAACAGTTGCGGTAGAAATCCCAGTTCGTAGAATATATAGACGATAAATTCCGCTGCGGTTTGTTGCAACGGATTGAGAAGACAGCGAAATTGTTTTCGCTGAAAACCGCGTATATGGCCGAGCCAACGATTTGCGGTTACGCCATCAAAGACGTTGTACTTTGCCCGTTTGCTCGCCAGCTTCTACTAGAAATTGGCGTAAATCGATTATCCGTTCATTAATCGACCCACGCGCGCACTATAAACGATCGAGTCTGCGAGCGGGAACGGTAGGATGGACCTTCGGAAATTACGTCGTTTCGAATACCGGTCCAGAGACGGAGAAAGAGAGAGAAAGAGAGAGAGAGAGAGAGACGGACAAATTCGTATTTCTTATTGGCGGTTCATCCGAATATGGACGTGGTCCACTCTCTCTCTCTCTCTCTCTCTCCTTTTCGGTTTTGTTTCTCGCTGGAATTCGTCCTTCCCGTCCATCCATCGAGATATTACTCCGAGGTATTGCTCGCCTACGAAAACCAGAGAGGAGTTAGGATAGGAAGGCGGACTGCAATCGTTCTTTGTTAAAATCGCGCTTATCTCTGAATGAATAATTTATCGTCCCGTTTATCTTTTTCCACGCGAGAGGCGTTGCCCGCTAACGAAACGATCAACGTTTAAAAATAAAATTAACATAAAACAGGAGGGTGATTTAAGGACGCGTAAAAAACTTCTTGAGAGGAGATTCGGTTCGGGAGGACGTTGAACCGTTGGGTATTCCCCTATGCGATTCGTTGGTCGCCGCCGAATCGATCGAAATACATAAATTGAGCGAATATCGCGATAATAATAATAATAATAATAATAATCAACGGGTAACGCGATTCTTTCAACGCGCACGTACGAACACGCTTTTGTAAACCCGATCGCGAACGGATCGCGGCGGGACAAAAGAGGATGCAATGGCCGGTATGCGTAAACTCGAGCCCGATATAAATTTCAATTTCTGTCGAGCGGGAATTCCACGCCGCTATTATACAGCTCGTATGGAGCTATACTAACTGCTGCTGGTTAAATGGATCGACACCTCCCTCCTAATTGGCGAATCGACGATTCCTTTTTCCTCGACTCGGAATTCGTACGCGGGAGAAGCTCGCGCCAGTTAACCCGAATAAATAGAAACGTTCCGCGTCTGGCGGAAGATAGTATCGACCATCCTTTCCCCTCCCTCCACCTTTCTCCTTTTCTCCCTTCCTCTCTTCCCGCTTTCCTATCGCACCCTTCGTCTTCTCAAGCCCTTCTGTTGCACCACCTCGAGCAACCTGACCG